TAGATGAAAACTACCCCACGCCAATGCTTGTCTTGGTAAAATTTCAAAATAATAGGCACAGAGAAGATGCTAAAAACTTCTACAGGGAAAAGTAAAAAGGTGATATGTAAAGGATCAAGAATGTAGGTAGCTGTGAACTTGGTAGTGTTGGAAGCTAGATGACAATAGAAACATGCTTTCAAAATTTAGAGGGGGAAAATTTTCAATTTAGAATTTTATACCCAGACAAACTATCACTCAGAGGTGAGATAAAAATAAAGATATTTTCAGACATGCAAGGTCTCCAAAGATGTATCCTCCAGTAAATGAGCTCCATCAAAACAGAAATAAATTAGGAAAGAAAAAGGCAGAATATTAAGAAAGCAGAGGCTCCAAGCCAAGATAATATCAAAGAGAAGTTCCAGGATCATGGTGTTGGCAAATCTCTGCATAACAGCTATGACCCAGTGTTGGGAGCAATTGGATTAATGTGAAGCAACTCACAAAGTTTGGGGATGACATCTATGTAATGATAAAATTAGTAGAATACCTGATGCATTTGACTGTATCAAAATGAGGCTGATAAAAATGGGAATTAAAAAATGAAAGAAGAAACAAAAAAATGGAAGAAGAAAACACAGTGGCACTTGGTTCACAGCCTTAATTCTTTCCACCATTCTGGTCATAAACGGAACTGAAAAAGAACCGAATCAAATTCAATGGCTAGATTCAATGTCGACCTTATTAGGAAATTTACTATTTGGTGTAGCTTGGCTGTGAACAGTGTTTCAATAGTTATGATAAAGTGTACTGAGAAATGATCCAGACAAAGGAGGACATAACTGTAGAATGGGGACAGGATGGGAGACACAGTAAAAGAAAACGAACTTGTTTATCCACAGTGGAAAAGAATAATGCATAAGACTGAAAAAAGTAGTATAACCATGTTATTTAAAAATGTGAAGATTAAGTCTCAAAAGTAACCATGGCAGGGTTGGACACGGGGGACCAAGGGAAGCAGGGTATGGGGTGAGAGGTTAGGGCCTTACTGCTTTCATCACAAGCCTTGTGGAATTATTTATTATTTTAAAACATTATTGAAATGCATATGCACATAACTTTGATAAAAGTGCCATCTAAATTATGAAAAAAGGAGACTTCCCTTTTGCACTAGCCCTGTGTAAGTTATGCTGCAGGAAAGGAGAGAAAGAAATAAAAGAATGACATCACTTTGTATCCTAAGTTTTCATCCTTTTCCTCCGCTTCCTCCCTTCTTGTTCCCTCTTTTTCCATTTACTGCCCGTTCTCCTCTTGAATAACACTCCACCATTCTCTCTCAATTTCCTCCTTTCTGTTTCTGGCATTGTATGCAGCAGACATAGCTATATTATTATTACTTACAATGTTTGTTGGATCTACTGCTTCCTCTTCTTAGTTCTCACTATTGAAAGCATGCATGGAACGTTCTTTCTCTCCCCCAGACAAAGTTATAAGTAACCTCTTGTTGGAGAGGAGAAACGCCCTCGCACGGGCTTGGGAGAGGCATCCAAGGTCCCTGGGTCCAGCCAGTCTTTCGAGGCAGAAGGTTCTTGGGTGGCAGTCCTGGCTGGCACATACTCCCGGGCTCTGCCTCAGCGGCGTCGCTGGGGACAGTTTACAGAAAACCCAACACCTCTGCACGACAGTCCTCATGACCTGCACACCGGAATCATGCCACACTGCCCTTCCTGTAGTTTCCAGACTTTGCACCACCCTGGCCAACCCCCGACTTCTGAGTTAATCTTTCAGCCAGATGCCCCTTGAACCGGACCCACAGCATCAAGTAGGGTCCCGTTCTGCCAAATTCAGGGGCTCCTGGACTTCCATTGTTCTGCTCGTCATGCTTTTATCAATGCAGCCTAAATTTTACAATAGCTGTTTCCTCAACTCTTGCTGACTTGCACCAACCTCAAAGGTGTCTAACGTGAGATTTTTTCCTTATGTGCCCTTGAAAAGCTTGGTAGTCCACATCCCGTATATGGGAAGATGTTTTATTACTAAAGCACTGCTGTCTGGTTTCCATTTGTCCCTCTAAATCTCTTCTTGAGGGTTTTGGCCCCAAAGTCTCACCCTGTTTTGAGAAATTTCTTATGATTCATTTGAATGAACATGTTTGGCTACCAGTTACAAATTGTTCTCTTTAAAATTATTCCATCATCTAATTCCGAAGCAAAATCTAGGTCATCTCTGTTCCAAGACAGACCCCCTTAGAGGGGACCTTGGCTTTCTGAGTTTGATACTATGAAGAGCTATGGGCAGGCTTTGGTCTTGGGCCTCCGGCCCATGCACACAATGGGGAGAAGTGTCATCTGCGTTCCTACCTGTGGCCCGGGCCAGTGTCAGGAGCCCTGGGCTGCTGAACGCCATTCATCATCCTCACACCTGCCGGGAAACAGATCCAGTGAGCTGAGTGCGGGCAGACAAGCAGATGGTTGCGTGGATTCCATGATGGGCGAGGGGTGGGGCGCTCCACAAGGCGGAGGCTTTTACTTCTCCCGCCTTGGACTCTGCGCCAGCTGTCAGCAGCTGGACACTGGAGAGACCCACACAGCAATTAGCGTCCCATTTGTCAGGAGCTGTCAACTCTGAAAAATAAGAACAGCTGACATTCGGGGAGTACGAGCTGTTGTGGTCACTGTAGTGAGTTCTTGGTTATGCAAAAGCTCTCTCCTCCACGCTGCATACTAGACCATGTTCCTTCTGCTTCTACGGCCACGCTACTGCAGAGTTCAATCCGCCCTCCAGCAGCGCACGCACATTCCCCTGAAACACTGCGGGGCAGGATGCAGATGTCCCATGTGACCGGATGGCAGTGAGCCTCTGCTGGACCATTCTGATGCTAGGAGCTGGGAAAGTCTGATCTGAGCTAAAGGAGACAGACTGGAAACTGTGCACATGCCCATCAGCCAGAGAAGAGATAAAGCGTGGCTCGTAACAGAATACTACTCAGCAAAAAGAAAAGACTCACCAAGAATGAACCAGTTATGACCATCAATTTCACTCCCCACCAGGAGTGAAATAAACCAGAAACAAAAAGGAAAGAGAGTCTCTCCTGGCCCAGAGCCACTGAATTTAAAGTATAAACTTCATTCTTCCTGCAACTTTAGAATTGAACAGTTCCATGCCTATTTATGGGTCTCGGGCAGAACACCAGGCCATCTCTAAGTCTGCCTCATCAATTACTGGTGGGGAAGGACAGGCCCAGCCCACAGCTTGCGCTGCACTCAGATCTCATCTCCCTATTCTGTCCTCATCCTTCTCCTTCCCTCCCAGTGAGGGCATAGCAGTGAAGCGTGTGAAGAAGGGGACTTTATTTTAGGTAAAGTAGGATTTCACAGCATTTCACCAACTGTCTCAGTCCATTTGTGCTGCAAGAGAATGTGTGAGGCTGGGTCATTCCTAATGAATGGAAATGTGTTTCCTACCATTGCTGCAGCTGTGAAGTCCAAGATCAAGCGCTGGCATCTGGGGTGGCCTTGTCGCTGTGTGCAGGAGGCTGGAGGCCTGGAGGGGATGAATGCTGAGTCCACTCCCAAAACCCTCTTTATAGCCTCACCAGTCCTCACCTCCCCAGCAGGCCTCCCCAAGCAGCACCTTGCGTCGGGGATTACATTTCCACCGTGGGAATCTGGGGGGATGGACTCTAGCCACAGCACTGACTAACCTACTCCGTTTCCTGCTAATACACGCATCTGTGCACTGAAGATCCCTGGCTGCCACGTTCTAAGCATGCTTCTGGCTGTCTTTAAGATTCCATTCCTCAAAATGTTGGAGAATTGATGGGTGACAAAAAATGCTGTTGGAGAGAGTAGAAGAGGGGGTGATGGTGAGCCCAGGGTGACGGTCTGGGTTAAATGATTTCATGTATGAGCATCGTTCCTTCCTCTCCCGCTTCTCTTTCTCCTCCTCCTCTTCTCCCGCATCTTATTATTCTTATGATTATGCGATTACTGCTTCTCTGTCCTGGAAGCACTGAGCTTCGAACTGGAGCAGCCAGGGGGAGCAGGCGCTGCAGATGACTCAGGCTTTTCTGGCTCAGCTGTGGGTTGGCCGCTCTGCCACGGGCAGGGCGGAGGTGGCAAAGATTCTCATGTTCGAAGTCTGACCCTGAACATGAACCAACAACAGCATCTGACTGATGGAGGTTACCTCCCAAGCACTGCTCTGGAGGCTGAAAGTCCCTGCGAGCTGACGGTGCCACATGGCTTGCTGTATTTTTGGAGTTCCCTGATATTTCCCTGCCTTCCACCACCCTAATCTGAATTTAATTGTTCCCTAACATCTGGCTACCTTTTTTTTATTTTTTTTGAGCTAAGGTCTCACTGCATAGTTCAGGCTGGGCTTGAACTCCCTGTGTAGCTCAGGCTGGCCCATGAACTTATAGCAATCCTCCTGCCTCAGTCTCCCGAGTACTGGGATTGCAGGCGTGAACAACCATGCCCGTTTCAGAGCTTTTTTAAAAACACAATTGCTCCAGGTATTTTTGCCCAAGGCTAGCTTCTCTATGAGATGACGCGTCCCTCATGGTCAGCCAGCCTTTCCTGTCCTGTGCTCTCCTGTGCCAGGTTAATGCTCCGTAAACTCTGGCTTTGTGGCTGAGCTGCGTTGAACTCGATTTGGGGAAGTTCCTTCCGAGGTGCTGGGGTATTCTTCTGAATCTGTGTCCTTTAGAGGTGGCTGCGACTTCAGAAAAATAGTCATTTCCACACCAAGTTGGTGAATGAATTGAGCGATGCCAATTCTGTTCTATAAATAAATTTATAAGCCCGGTTTTCCTGCACGGCTGCTACACCAGGTCTAGCTGCCATTCCCCAGGAGCAGGCCAAAGAGTATTCCGAGCAGCGCCTGCGGATAGGCGGGCGCTGGAGTCCCGAGGCCAAAGCAGGCTCGGCGGTCAGCCTGCGTGGAGCTGTCATGCCGAGAATGGCCACTAGAGGGGGGCCGTGTTCCAGACCCCGCCGGCGCAGCCTCCGCAGTCACTCCTGGAGCTTTTATAAAGAGTTCTTGCGGGAGCTGCTGCCGGCTGCTCAGTCAGAAAGAACCTCACAGAGCTGCCGGTGCCTGCCCGGGACATCAGGTCGCTGCCCGAGGCCGACAGGGACGAGGCACCACGCCAGGGGTCCCAGGTGCAGACCCCACGCACTCCGCCACCGCCTGAGCCTTGCCTCCCAGCCTGGTCCTCCCGCACAGGGGACTGTGCGGCCCTGGCCCGACAAGCCAGGGAGCCCCCGCAGCCTCTTCATATGACTCCGTCTGGGCCTGGCTGGCTGTGGGGACAAGCTCCGAGGGGCCGCCTGTGTCTCAGCGGGACCTCAGCCAGCTCTGCGACCGCCACGGCGAATGCTGGGGACTGAGCGCCAGGCTCTGTGGCCTCAGCGGGGGCGTCAGGTGAGTCTTGGCCCCGACTTTGCCCAGGCGTCTACCTGGGTGTGGGCGCTTTCGTGGCAGCGCTGGCCGGCTCGCATCATAGCCCCGGGGCTTGCTCGGGAGCAGGTGGGGCGGGGACAGCCTCCCTCCGAGTGCTGTGTGTGCATGTGTGACTCTCAGCGCAACAGGTTGGGACCTTTGGTTCGTAAGGTTTTTATAAAACATCTGCACTTCTCCAGCTGTGGGGTACAGTTTAGGTTCCCTAAGTACAGTCAGAGCAGGAAAGGGTGTAAAACCTCCTGAGCAGTTCTTTTTCGGGGCCACATTCCCAGTGATTTTCACTTGGTTTTGATGAGTGAGACCAGGCAGTCCAAAGAAAGCTGCACAGTTAGAGGCTGGACCCAGCTGCAGGGCGACAGGCACCCCCTTGGCAGCAAGAATTCATTCTGTCCTTCTGATGCCCGGAGGAGGACTTCGGAAGCCAGGGTCCTCTCCCCAGCCCCACACTGCATTCACAGTTGCTCTTTGCAAAGCGAATCCTGCATAGCTTGTTTTGGGGACTGGCTCAGGGAACCTGAGCCCCTTCACCTGGTGGAAGGGTGTTCTCACCAGATTGTGCCCCCGGCTGCCTGGTGTGACCTACTGGTGCAGCCCTTCCACATGATGTGAGGCTCCCCTGGCGGCATGGGCCCCGACCCACACAGGCGACGCACCCGAGGCTGAGTGAGGTCAGAGGACCGGGCCGTGTTCCCAGGGTGACCGACGAGAGGAGGAGCTGGACTAGAGCGCTGGTCCTCTGAGTGCCCCCTGCCCACCGACCCGCACAGAGTGGGTGCAGGGGGCCAAGGGCTTTTGCAGCTTTCAGCTGCAGAGTCTGGGAGGAGAACCTGGTTTCTAACCTCCCCTGTAAGTGTCTTGGGTACCATCATCTGGGAGTGAGCATCTGGAGCGCCCCTCCCTGCTTGCAGGGCGGCCTCGATCCAGTTCCAGATGCTGAGGTCCAGGCTCGGCAGGCTGTGTACCCAGGTCCCTGTGGCCTCCACACCCGGTGCATGTTTCCCCTCCCGGCTCTCAGAGCCTCCCTTGGCGCTAGGCCCCCACCTGCTGGGGTGTGTTGCTGCCCTGTGGGGTGCAACCCGCTTCACTGCCTGGTCTGGGATCCTGAAGGCGGCCACATGCACTTCCTGGGCAAAGCGTCCTGCAGCTGAGCCAGTGTCGTGGTGGGAAGCCCCTGCCCACTGTCCCCTCCCTGATGCCCGCTGGTTCTTGCCTCTTGGGTCTTGGTTGGCGCATCTTTAAAATGGAAACCATGGCATGGCGATGCACCTGCCTGCCCCTCGCAGTGCTCCTGGGAGGAGCCCTCGGGATGGCGCCAGGGCAAACAGTCCGAACACTTTGGTCCTGATACATGCCAGCGGTTTGCGCTGTGGTCACTCAGCTGGACACTCATGCTGGACACTCAGCTCTGCTTTGCCCCAGAGCACAGACTTGACCCAAAGCTGATAAAGATCCATGATCTGAGGGCCAAGTTCCTGCGCCTCAAGCTCTCCAGGAGAGAAAAACAGTCCCACACAAAACCAGGACAGCAGAATGAAGTGCTCGGCTCTCCCTTCCAAGTAACACACAGCCGAGCATTTCCAAGCCCATCTCCCTCACATCTGGCGGCTGGGCCCCAGCCCCTCTTCCCTGCCCTCCTCTGGCTCCTCTCAGACCAGCTGAGGGGTTGCGGGGAGGCAGAGAAGGTCGCTGGAGCCCGACCTGAAAGGCCCGGATACCAGGTCTGTGTGGCCCAGGAGCTGCTGGGAGAGGACGAGGCGGCACAAGCACGCGGACAGCGTTTGCGCCGGCCCCGCAGAGGCTGCAGCACCCTGTTTGTGCTCGCCGGGGACCTCTGGCTGCAGCTGCTGTTGCCTTTGGCAGAGCGAGGGTTATCGCCGGCAGAGGAGACACTGGCCCCGGAGCCAGGCCAAGGGAGGGGCGCTGTGCACAGCCTGTGAGACCAGGGAGGGTCCGTCTCACTGTGCAGTGATGGAGCAGCCCGCGGCTCCGCCTAGAGGCCCTCACTGGGCGGAGGCTGTGGACCAAAGACATCGTAGCAGGAGGCACCGAAGACATCAAGCTGGGTGGGCGCAACCTGGCCAAGAGGAGAGATCCTGCCAGAGCAGTGAGTCACGCTTTCTCCTGGCCTCCTCCAGCTGCAGGAAGGCCCAGGAGACTGGGCACCCCGCATGGGAGTGCCAGTGACACGTGTGCGCGGGTGAATCTCTGTGCTGCGGTATAGGGGCGCAGTACTTGAAAGGACAAGAGAAGAAGCCTGCACACCTGCTTTACCCCTGGGCTTCACTTATCCCAGCCCCAGAGGTTTCTGCAGACCAAGCTCAGGTCATGAAAGCAGGGCTTTCCCGTGTCACCCCACCCATCATCCCACCCCACCTGCGAAGAGGAGCAGACTGATCCCTGGACCCACAGGCCACAACCCCAAAACCTGCCAGGCACTGTTGGGTGACCTCCGAGGGCACAGACCTCTGCACACTCCTCAGGTTGTGCTGGGCCTGGGACCCAAACTCCTAGGATGGTTCATCTTTTAAAGAATTCATTTTTTAATAAATAGACCTAGGTGTGCAAGCGCACAGCTGTAATCCCAGCACTCTGGGAGGCTGAGGCAAGAAGGTTAGACGTTCCGCCCCAGCCTGAGCAGCTCAGTGACTTAGTGAGACCCTGTCTCAAAATAAAATTTTTTAAAAAGCCTTGAAGAAGGGGCTGGGGATTTAGCTCAGCGGCAAAGCGCCTGCCTGGCAAGTGCAAGGTCGTGAGTTCGGTTCCCGGTACCGGAGAAAAAAACAAAAAAAAAAAAATAAAAAGCGTTGAAGGGCTGGGGATGCGCCTCAGTGTGAAGGCCCTGGATTCAATTCCCTGAGCATATATGCAGGGTAAGAATAAGAGTATTTTACAAGTATGTAAATAAATACTTTGTAATGTCTTTATTTTTAAAAAAGGATTTTTCTCATTATACAAGGAATGTCAACTCAGAAAATCTGGAAGCAAAGTGAAATATACCATACCCACCATCCCTTCCTCAGTGCCTGGCTCACTCGGGGTCCCCGACAGGAAGGCCTTCCTGTCACACGGCGCACCTTACCAGACGCACACGCTGCTGGACACACGTGGCTCCCCTCCAGGAGCACAGGGTTTCCCAAGGCAGGGGCTGTGTCCCTGGACCGCTGTGGGGTGGACCCAAAACCCCCGTGGGCCGGGCTTGGGGACATCCAGACAGGAGCCCTCCCTGGCTTCAGGTGGCTCCACCTGAGGCTGCCTGCTTCTCAGGACCCTGGAATCTGAGTCCTTGCTTGGTCCCTCTCATCTCTGCTGGCCCCAAACCTTGTGTCGCCTCGATGTGCCCGTGTGTTTAGTTTCCCTCGTTCCAGCACAAGGAAAGCCTACATCTCTCTGACAGTTCCCTGGGCACCGAGAATCCCCTAAGCGTAGCAAGATTGGTTCCCAGGCCCTGCCCAGCACTGCCACACTGTCCCCCAGCCCAGTCTGAGAGCCACTGAAAGGAGGGGACGGAACTCACAGTCAGAAAGGCCCAGGGCACTGAGCCCTGCAGGGTGCGGGCTGGGGTCCCGAGGTCCTGGAGGGTGGCATCTGGCTGCTTTGATGAGGAGAGGTCCAGCGCTCAGGCTCGAGCTGACCTGGCATCGGGCACCTTGTTTGGTGCATTGCTTACTGTGTCCACCTGTGCTCAACTCTCCGTACCCCATCTGTGCTGTCGCAGGACCTGATGGAGAACAAAGCCATGTACCTGCACACCGTGAGCGACCGGGACACCGGCTCTGTCTTCGAGGAGCCCTTTGACGGCCGGAGCCTGTCCAAGCTGAACCTGTGTGAGGATGGTGAGTGCCTCTAGCTCCATCTCAGTACAAGATCCGCCGTGGCATTGCCCCAGGGCGCTCGTGACCTCTCTGTCCAGCGCTGTCTGTGTGGACCTTCAGGCCTTGAAAGGTCTTTCGGGTGTGTTTCTCTCACTCACCTCAACAGAGCTGTGCAGTCGGCCAGCTAAGTTCACATCTACAGGTGGCTAAGTTGAGGCTGAGAGCAGCGTGGGGAGCCCACGATGGGTCAGTCATGGAGAGGCCCCAGGAGTGAGTCTCCTTGCAGCTTGGCCACGGCTTTGCCTTCGAGAAAGAGGCTGGGGCCAGATGAGGGCGTCCAGCGACTCGGCCCAGACCCTCTTGGGAAAAGCAGGAGCCTCCAGCCCATCTCCTGAAGCACTCATGAAGACAGGGTGTGCCTGTCCCATCATGCAATGGGAAGGGGACCCAGAGGCACCACTTGAGGGCTGAGTGTTTGCTAAAGCTCTGGTGAGCGAGCCGGTGCCTCTTGCTGCAAGAGGCCTGGAGCACTTTGCCAGTGGCTGGTCCCCGTGCTCCAGCAGAGAGCTCAGTGCCGGGCAGGCACTTAATAAATGCTCGCTGCTGACACTGAGCAGGCGCTGGATAAATGCTGATGCAGGAGGGGGAGTGGAGTGGCTTGAGAGGCAGGCAGTAGCAGCCCAGCAGCGACAGGAGACAGTGTGTCCCACTGTGTGAGAGGTGTCATGCTGCTCCAAAGGACGATCAGCCCAGTCCCGGCCCTCCAAGGCGCAGGGGCTGCCTGGGGACGACTGCCCAAACAGGAACCAGGCGGAAATGCGTGTGGGTGTCGAGGTCCAGTAAGGAGATGGTTTTCTGGAAAAGGCCTTAGAGCCTGAAAGGATTTTATATGAGAAGCGGGGAGAAAACCCCTGCCAGCTTATCAGGGAAAGCCTGCAGGGCTGGCTGGCTAGGCACAGTCACAAAGCGACACCTGTCCATGTCCTTGATCTGGCTATCTCCCCATGGCACATCAGGAAAGGGGTCTGGTTTGGTCAGAAAGAACCGGGGTCAGCACAGCGGGGTGACTGGGGGCATCACTGTGGCCAGCTCAGAGTGCCGGGGGGGGCCCAGGAGTGGGAAAGTACAGTGCAGACAGCAGAGGCTGGGGTCCCCTCTCGGGGCCTCAGTGACCTAATCTGTCAAATGGGATGCAAAAGGTATTACTGAGGTCCCATGTAGTTCACAATCTGTGCATAGAAACAGACCTGGCTGTTGCATTCTGAACTCGCTCCCCTGCCCGCCGTGACAAGAGCAGAGGCTGGACAAGGGGTCCTCTCTGTGTTGCTCATAGCTGCCTCCCTCCCAAGCCTAGCGCAGAGAAGGTGCTCACTAGGACTTGCATGAACAACCTAACGGCTGAGTGAGGAGCTAAGGAACGAATGCATGAGCAAACTCATGAGTGAATGGGTGGGCAGCCGACAGAGTGGTCCTTAAAATCCCCAGGCTGCAAAGTAAACACCTTCCAAACCCGATCTCCAAATTTCCTAGGTCTTCCACATTCTGCCAGGTGCCAGGAGGGGAATCAGAAAGCAGACAGAGCACCGTGGAGATGAAACCAGCTTCTGGAAACTCCTGGGCTTCTGGCTTGACTTCCTCCTTTCTTTCCTTTCTAAGAGATAAATGGGGAGCTTGACTGGGAGAAATTCAAGCTAGGCTTGATCGCTCGCCAAAGGGCTTCGCTGTTCCTTTGATCTTCATCTCTAGAAGTAAAACAGAGAGTGGAGGAAGGTTGGGCCAGGTGGGGAGAAGAGGAGGGAGAGGAGGGAGAGGAGGGAGAGGAGGGAGAGGAGGGAGAGGAGGGAGAGGAGGGAGAGGAGCGAGGCTGGCCAAGCCCACCCCGTGTGCCTCACAGTGAAGTGTCAGGTCCGGGAGGGGTGCCATCTTCCTCTGAGGATCCTGCTTAGATGTAGGCTGGGTGGGAGCAGGGGAGCGACACACTTCCCTCCTTGAAGGCTGGCCCTGGGGTCTGGTATGGGGATGAGAATTCCCCAAGGGCAGCCCAGCTACTCAGGTGTGACCTTGGTGATGGCAGGGTGTTAACACGTCTTGGTAGATGGATCACATCCTGGTTTACCTTTCTGACCAACTGGGTTTCCAGGGTCTGTCTGGGCCCCTTGTCCCTCCCTGGCACCCCTAAAATGAAACCATGGGGTCTGCCTGAGCCTTTGTGGTCTGAGCCTTTGTGCCCTTCTGGGGTGCCCCTTCTGCCTCACCCTACCTTCTCTACCCATGCTCCCCAGGCTCTGGAGGATGGCGGGCCAGTCCTGACCCTGCGGATCACTGCCTTAGAGCCCTGACGTCTCACGTGCTGTGTGTGTCACTGCTGGGCTGGGCTGGGCTGGGCTGGTCCCTGCCTCACTGGATGGCAGGATCCTTGAGGCCAGGGAGGGCGATGGGCTTTTCTCTGGGCTCTGCTGGGGCCATGTACCCGGCAGATGCCGGGAAACCGTGGTGACTTTAGTATTCGACTGCCTTGGGGTCTCCTTACTTTTATTTTATTTTTTATTTTAAAGAGAGAAAAAAACCCAAAATTTCAAAAGAAGATAATAGGAGGGTAACAATGGCTGACACATTGCGTATTGTTATCTTTAAATTAGTTACTCAGAGTACAAGACATCAGCATTTAATTGTCCAAATAATATTAGCACAAACCTTTCGTTTTAACAAACTAAGAGAAAGTAGTGGTATAACTATTTTAACTATCATGTAGATAGACAGATAGATTTTTTTGCTTTTCCCTTTTTTCTTCCATCCCCCACATCCCAGATTCTCTTTCCTTTTGAAGTTTCTTCTCATTTTACAAAATCTGTTGTACATTTTGGGTCTTATTTATTCTTTCAGCTCCTCGCACTAGGGATCCTTATCTTTAATTCTGAGTTCTTTCCCGGGGAAGGAATTTGAAGGTACTGAGCTGATGGTCTGAAGGAATAACTCCCCTCCCTCTGGATTTGGAACCAGTGGAGAAATGGACTAGAAACCAGGTGGAAATTAAAATATGGACTCTGTCTTCTGCCTGGCAAAGCTAAGCTCTGGGTGTGGCTTCCACAGTGGAGCCCTGGGCTAGAATTTCCCCAGCCAGCAAGCCGGAGTACCCGGGTTGGCGCTGCCTCCCACCCGCTCACAGCCGCCCCTACCAGAGGATCAGCGATGAGGATGTGGGGTCACAGGCAGCACCAGGGACCAAGGCTGCACCTCTGGGGAGGGCGCAAGGGCTGAGAAGGCCTGCGTTGCCACTTGGGCGGAAACTCCGAAGAGTGAAAGAAGTTCCTGTAGCTGCCAGGACAGGGGCAGAATAAGAGAGAGGATGGGTGACTTTGTCCACCCCTGAGGTGTCTCTCCCTGACACCCCTTCCACCACACCCTTGGGGGACTCCCCTGGGGACCCTGCTTTCTTCCCTGCGTCTCTTTCTTCCCAGCATCCTCCTGGGAGCCCCCTGCTGATGGGGAGGGTTGGAAGGCAGGGCTGTCCCCTTACCTGGTACCTCAAGGGCCGATCCCAGCGGTGACCTGGAAGGACCACAGCCACACTGGCTCTGATGGCGCCCCTCACTCTCCCTCCAAACCCACCCCCACCAGGGTCCCCTCTCCCTGCGGTGCTCCTGCCCCCTCTGTGCTCCCCGTGCAGCTGGGGACCTCTCCAGTGTGGCGCCAGGAGGTAGAGGCCAAGGCCTTCGAGTGGGTGGTGCCTGGCTCGGCCCAGTTCCTGGCCGCACTTTCCAAGGGCCCGAGAGAGGTGTTAGTGTCAGAAAAATATTACAGTCCTGCTGGCTCCGTGGGCTCGGCCCCTCCGCCACGCCCGTGGCGTCATCCGTGGTTGCAGATGGGAAGCTGGCGGACGTAATGAGTTACACATGCTCTGGGATGTCTGCAGCCTGGCTGCGTGCTGGGCCCAGGGGCTTCCCGCTCCTTCCCCGTAAAATTAAATTACTCTCCTGAGGGAGCCCCCACATCCACCGTCCCATCCATCAAATGTCCCTGCTTCGTGTCCCTGCAGCTGCCCAAAGCTGGAGTGGGCTTCCAGGAGGGCCTGGGAACGCACCCACAGGGTCACCATTCTCTACAGGGCGGAGAAGCGGACCCTGGGCCAGGGGAAGAGCAGGGGGATTGACTCATTCGGGCTACAGCCCTGTCAGAGATGCGCCCTGCCAGACCAGAGCAGCGAGCCAAGCGCTGGCAGAGAAGGATGTGGCCCTGGAGGAGCTGGCAGCCAGGTGGCCTCCTGGTCTCTCGCGCTGGGTGGGAGCAGCTTGGTGAATGACAGGGGCCAGACACTGCAGTTTACAGGCCTGGGCTGGAATCCATGGGCCTCGCCCTGCCTGGACCTTGGGCACGTGAGCTCGGGCTCAGTGCTATCCCATGCCCTGCCCTCTTCTTCTCTGGGTTTGGCTGCAGGGAGCCCTGGCAGGGGCTGGAAGGAGGAAAGGCAGGGGGCCGTCCCCCCGCTCCCACCCACGCGGTCACCTTGGGCTGGGGGTCCCCTTGGGTCTACTTCTGGGTTCCAGTTACTACTCCCCAGCCCTGAGTTTTGTGGCTAAGAGTTGCACTGGCGTGAAGACACTGCTCTGTCCGCTGGGGGCATCTCGACCTTGGCCACACCTTTGCAGGTACTGGCCCTGTGAGATCACTGCGTCAGAGTGAGCCAGCTGCTTCCCCAGGGCGCTGGCCCCCGTGCTAGGAGGCCTCATCTTCTAAATAAGAATGATGTCACTCACACCCACCCCGGGACTGCGGGAGGATGCGTACTGCTTGGCAGAGTATTAGTTGTAATTTGTCAATAGGTAAAAGCGAGCTGACTTTGTTCCTTGGCCTCCAGGGATTTTGGTTCCTCACTCTTGTTTTTTTTTTTGGAATCTCTAGGGTCCCAAGGGAAGCAGTCTTCAGCGTGTAGGTTTGTTATGTTAGGGGTCCCTGAAGGCAGCTGACAGGCTAAAGGCAAGGGGTCATCACCTTGTGAGGAGGTGGGTGGGGAAGAGTCTGGC